ATGGGATTAGATTAATTTGGGATAGCTGGTCGGCTTGGATGAGTTGGACCGAAGGGTCTATTTCGGTGCTGCACAGCTCTATGACTCTATGCTGTGGGTCTGGAGTCACGTGTAGGCCAGACCAGGTAAGGATGGCAGTTTCCTTCCCTAAAGGACATCAGTGAACCAGATGGGTTTTTGTGACAATCCAATAGTTTCACAGTCCCTACTCCTATTTGTAAATTCTTTTGCCGGATTCATTTGACTAACGACATTAAAATATTCCCCAGCTGATAACAGTGGGATTTGAACGTCTGTATCTGGGTTCCAGTCGAATAACATAATCACTGTGGTCCCAAGTGCTGCCTTTTGTAATGTGGTCAGGAAAGCGTGAAATGATCTTCTACCGTGTTACTATCCCTTTAACTCAGAGCACCCTTGAGCACATGCGTCCTCTTGTTCCCACTCACTGTCTGTGCTTTGGACAGGTCGGTTTGATCGGGAAATCGATATTGGAATTCCAGATTCCATCGGGAGACTGGAGATCTTGCAAATCCACACGAAAAACATGAAGCTGTCAGACGATGTGGATCTCGAGAGGGTAAGAGATTCTCATTACTGTGGGGAGAGTGGCTGGATGGACATGGAGGGACAAGTAATTCTGGTTCAGTTCTGGTCTCCCTGCTATAGGAAGGATGTTGTGAAACTTGAAAGGGTTCAGAAAAGATTTACAAGGATGTTGCCAGGATTGGAGGGTTTGAGCTATAGGGAGAAGCTGAATAAGTTGGGGCTATTTTCCCTGGAGTGTCGGAGGCTGAGGGGTGACCTTATGGGTGTTTACAAAATCATGAGGGGCAAGGATGGGTTAAATAGCCAAGGTCTTTTCCCCAGGGTGGGGGAATCCAAAACTAGAGGGGCATAGGTTTAAGGTGAGAGGGGAAAGATTTAAAAGGGACCTGAGGGGCAACTTTTTTCACACAAAGGGTAGTGTGTGTATGGAATGAGCTGCGAGAGGAAGTGGTGGAGGCTGGTACAATTACAACATTTAAGAGGCATCTGGATGGGTACGTGAATAGGAAGGGGCTAGAGGGATATGGGCCGAATGCTGGCAAATGGAACTAGATTAATTTAGGACATCTGGTTGGCAAGGACAAGTTGGACCGAAGGATCTGTTTCCGTGCAACTCTATAAATGGTCAGTGTTAATGGGAGGCAGAGTGATTTTAACTTGGGACAACAAATGTTGGGATTTACCTCACCTGTAAATTCTTTTTAAATTTGAACAGGTTTTTTTTGGTTCCTCTTGTCTGCTTGACCAACCTGAAATCTGATTTCCAATTGTACATCAGAGATGGAGGCCATTCAGCCAACAATGCCTTTACTTGCTCTCTGATGGAACCCTCCCACTGCTCTTTTCCAGGTGTTCTAGAAAAATTTTCCACTTTTTTTTTGGCCAAGTACTTAGCCAATTCCCCCTTTTATTCTGATAGCTGTTATCGAATGTGTTTTACCTGCGCTGTCAGACAGAAAATCGCAACACGGAGGAAATTTACCCCCACTGTCACTGGATGAGTAAATCCAAAGACCCAGGTTAATGTCCTGGGGATATGGATTCCACCAGCTGGAGAAATCTGATTTTGTTCATTTCAATCTGAAATTGAAAACTAGCTTCCACGATGGTGACCGTGATCAATTTCAGTCAAAGGAAAACTCCATTTGGCTAATTAATGTCCTTATTCAGAAAGGAGATCTGCCATCCTTACCTGGTCTGGTGATCCCAGACCCACAGCAATGTGGTTGACCCTTAATTAGCCTCTGAAGTGGTCAAACAGGCCATTCGCACAGTCCAAGGGGCAGTTAGGGATGGACACTAACATGAGGACTAGCTGCAGGCCATTCAGCCCTTTGCACCTGCTCCTCCATTTAACACAATCCCATCTTGATCTTGAGCCCACTTTTCTGCCTGCTCCTCATAAACCCCTCAACCCGTTACTAATGTGAAATCTGTCCATCTCCTCCTTCATTTTATTCAAAGCCCCAGCATCCACCGCACTGTGGGGTAATAAATTCCACAGATTCGCCAGTGTTTGGTTGGCCAACATCCACGTCCTGTGCAACAATAAAGCTTTGAAATGTCTCCTTCTCTGTTGTCTGCCTGGTTCAGCAATCTCTGCAGCTTATTTCTGACCAGCTGAATTTGTAATGACAGCTCCACAGACCTCGATGCTGTTAGTGGGAGGGCGAGATCATGCGAGGGATTTGCAGCATAGGGCACGCGTTTTCAAACTGGGGACAGGGTTTAAATATTGTCAGCACTGATTAGGAAAGAGAGAGAGAGAGCGAACTGAAAGCAGCAGGTTCCCCTGTGGCTGTGTCAGACGATCAAAGTGTCCCGGTCAGTAATGGCAGTGTTCTGGATTATCACCAGATCCACCTGGTCTGCCCTCCCTCCCTCTCTCTCCCCGCATCTCTCCCCTCAATGTCTGTCTCTCTCTCTCTCCCCGTGCTGCCTCTCCCCCTCTCTCCCACCACGCTGTCTGTCTCTCTCTCTCTCTCTCTTCTCCCGCACTGTCTCGCTCTCTCACCACCACCCCCGTGC